TCTTTTGGCTAGAAGTCTATTGAATCGTATCACCTCTCTGTTGACACAAGACCAATCAGCCAGGTCATGTCTGTGTGGTGCTTCCATAATCAATATGTTGGTATGACTGGTCCTTTCTATAAAGTTGATTACGTTGTTTATTCCTTCCTTTGCTCTATCTTTGCCGATGTCATTGGTACCAGCCCACACTACTACAATGTCATTCTTTGTCATCCTTTTGTCAATATTGGTATTTAATATGTCACTTGATCTGGCACCTGGTTTCACAATTCCTATGACACCGAACTCTTTACTTAATTCGTTCATTATAAGGTCTGCACTTCTTTTCGCATGGCTGTCCCCAAGTATCAGGACGCTGTGCTTCTTGGATTTTACCATATTGCATGTATTATTTGATTGTTGATTTTTGTGCTTTTGCTCCGATTTCTTGCGATTTCTCATACTAGGGACTCCGTTAACTACTGTTGCTATTGGTCTGCCTTTGTACTTCGTGAGAGGTTGTAGGTTAGGTTGGCTATGTTCTTGAAGATTATTTAACACTGCATAGCGATTTGCTGTGTGAACACAGTAGTCAGTAATAGGTGGTAAATTAACTCTCTCCTTAGTCGCCTGACTTATTCTCACTTGCCTCCAATCATCAGTATCACATTCATCGCACTCCTTACAGTGGATATAGTTACCACTGGATTCTTGTTCCGATGTTGAGCTAACTTCTTTTTGTAGTAACTCTATGATAAACTGAGCAGTTTTAAGATCCTCTTGCACTCTTTGAAGTTCCCTTTTTAGTTTTATACAACTTAAACAAGAAGTTCCACTACTATGAACTACATTATTACATAAAATGTTAGAGCTCACTCTAGACGCCTCAATACCATCCGCCATCTTGGAAAAGCTTATGTATGTAAATAGCTGTAATAAATATATATTTATATTGGGGTTTATGCTCGTATTATGGATTATATTTGTATTATGTGTTCTGCATTGTTCTTTTTATCCTGTAAAGAATCCGTGGAATACAGTTAATTCTATTTATAGAAATTCCCCATGCAGTATTTATGTTTGGGCTCCCTCTGAGCTTGTGGCAGACATTACAGCTGTGATTTCCAAACGCATCTACAATCTGTTTTCATAAATAATGCAAAAAATGTCAGATATAACCAGTGTTATCAAGTTATTTTCCTGTCTTGAATATTTATTTTGTCTGCATACTGTATACACATTGAGGGATACTCTTCATATTTCAGTGTTTTTAAACATGCATAACAACATTTTATTTAAAAATATATGTGGCTTGAGTAGCTATCTGTTGATTTTTGCATGTGAACTGCTGCATTAGGATAAGAAAAAAGGATATTGTTCTGAGTATAACGCACGCAGTCACAGGAGCAAGACACAAGAAAGAGCACAATACACACATGAATGTAGGAAGAGTGCTCCCACAGAGGAGGATTGGCATGATTCGCGTATTGAGATATGACGTAAGGATGACGAATCCTGAAAAGTTTTAATATTTAAAATCTGTTATTATACATGACGAATGTATATTTTAGTCATTTTAGTATGAAGACAATCAGGGAATGCAATGCAGTAGTTAGACGTGCATAGAGAAAACGCACATGAAGATGGCACATTAGTGCTGAAACCTGTAGTGCAAAAGAGAAGAGTAAGGTGAAAAAGCGTGTGCACTGTAAGACGGTTAGCATAAATCATGGATATTGTTCTGTGTATTAAACTTGTGTAATTTTATTTGTTTAATGTTTTGTAGCAGTAGTTGATGTTGGTACTACTGCAATATAGCATTTTCCTATTTGTTGATGGTTTATATTGTATTGCAACGAACCAACAACATGCGGAGTCTGAGCTTTAAATGGAATTTGAGTGATTTAGACCAGTCATGTAGTTTCATAATATAGATGTTGAGGATCGTGGACTCTGCGCAGTGCGGTAGCACGGGTTGCCAGTGGTGATGTAACAACTGCTATGGTAACAGGCCAGTAAGCACTCCCCCCCTGCGGTGGCATAACAGCACTTCCCACTGTGACATCACAGGGGACACCGCTGTTACTACATGGGAACCGGTAGCAGTATAAGAGGCCTGCTGAGCGGTGTGTGATCAGTGTATGTTGTGAATCCAGACAGGCAGCCAGAGAACAGTGGGTGCCAGTAGAAGCCAGCACGGCGAGTTCAACGGTTCTACAGTATGGTGAGAGTTGTTAATATGAAAGGAGTGACTGTGAAATGACTTGTTCAATATTTTGTGTTATAGTTGAATTGTAGTTACGGTGTTGAGTAATAAAGTGACGTCGCAAGAATACACCCCTTGAGGTCTTGTTCACGACAACAGATATCATGTTTCTGGACATGAATCATCGTCCTGTTTTCATATAAAACCGTCATGTTTTTATTTCAAAATGCAGTGTTTCAAAGACTGAATTCCATTTCAGTTTTCAGGTGAAACCTACTCAGTTGGGCCCAGTTGATAGAGCTAGTCCCTGTGTGATAACGACAGTGCTCTTGTGTATTGTATCTGAAGGAAAATGATTGTTTCTCAATGGCATCATTCGTTGATTCTGTAATAAAGCCGTTAAGAAGCAGTCATTCTCAGTCAGATACAATATATGTGGTCTGACAATAAAGTTCCAGAACTCATCATGATAAAAGTGATAATTGCTGAATATCACTATAGTCGCCTTCAAAGTACTCCTCTTGCAAAGCTATGCACTGATGTCAGCACCTAGTCCATCCTTCAAAACAATTTTTGAACTGGTTCTGTGGAATGGCCTTCATTGCTGCCATCATATTACTCCTGATGTCAGCAATGTCATCAAAATGCCTTCCCTTCAATATTTCCTTTCTCTTTCGGAACAGAAAAATGTCATTGTGGGCTAGATCTGGTGAACAGGGAGGGTGTTCCAACACTGTTATTTGTTTACTAGCTAAAAACTCCCACACAAAGTGTCATGCATGCAAGTCTTTTGGGACCATTTTTGCACACATCTTCCTCATGTCAAAATCTTCAGGTAAGATTTTCCTATCTGTTTGTTTGTCAATGTTTGCTTGCTCTGCTATGCTCCTGACAGTCAGCCGATGATTTTCATGCACAATTTAACAGACTTTTGCAATGTTTTCTTCAGTTCTGCTTGTTGCTGACCATCCTGATCTTTCTTTCTTTATTTTACTTTTCCATAAATCAAAATACATTGATACAGGACTCGCCGTATTGTAATACTATCAGTAGAAACATACAGGAAATTCTACAGGTGAACAATACATATCAATCATGCTTATCAAAATGAAAAGCTGCATAAAAATCAAGACTAAAGATTATATCAACCACTCAAAAAACCATATCAGATCAGGAATCAGATTATAAGTTATTTATAAGGAGCAAGGTTTTCCATTATTCTCCAATCTAGATATTCCCACAGTGAGTAAAAGGAGCCAATATGGAGACATTTTTTAAAGCACGTTTAAACTTATGAACATCATTTGTCATGTACTTAAGATTCTGTGGTAAAATATTAAATATCATGATCCCAGAACAGTAGACATCTTTTTGGAGTTTAGCTAATTTATAAGTTGAATGACGTAAATCTGAACCTTGTCTGGTATGGATACTATGTATATTAGAATTTAATATGAAGGTATCTATATTTTTAGCAACAAACATGGGTATTGAAAATATATATTGTGAGAAAAACAGAAGAATATTTAGATACCTAAACAATGGACGACAAGGTCTGTTTTTCTAGCTTTCATAATGATTGTAACTGTTCTTTTTTGAATTTTAAGAATTAAATTACTGTTGGCAGAATTGCCCCAGAATATAATTCCGTAGGACATAAGGAATGTACATAGGCATAATAGGTCATCAGTACACTCTCCTTGGACACAAGGGTGGATAAAGTCTGATGGCATAGACAGCCGAACTCAGCTTCATTACTAATTGATTAACATGATCTTTCCAGGATAAAGTACTATCAGTGATTAGTCCAAGAAATTTGACATTGCAAGTGTTGTGGATTAGATGATTACTCTTATATTTAAGTTTTTTAACAGATTCAGTTTTGTTGCAAAGTAGACACTGTTTTACTTAAATTTAGCGTTAGCGAATTGTGTAAAATCCACTCATTTATTTTTACCAGAATCGCCTTGAAGGTAGTTACAAGTTCTATGGAATTAGAATTAGAACACAGTAGACTAGTATCATCTTCATACAAAATTGGTATGGATGATTTATTTACTAAATAAGGCAGATCATTGATATATAACAGAAGAAACAAAGACCCATGTATCGAACCTTGTGGAACACCCTGTTTAACATTTTGCCATTCAGAAACACCCTTTCTATAATTATTATTTATTGAATTTCTTTGATATCTATCAGTCAAGTAAGATTTAATCAGCTTCCCTGCTCTACTATTGATGCCATAAAACTCCAATTTAGCAAGCAATATGTCGTGATTGACACAGTCAAACACCTTGGTTAAATCACAAAATAATCCTCCGACAGCTAATTTGTTATTAAGTGCCAATAAGATATTATTTATTAATGTTAAAATAACCATATTAGTAGTTGATTTAGTTTGAAAACCATATTGTTCTTGCACCAGAATATCATTTACATCTATATGATATTGCAGTCTGTTGAAAATGTCTTTCTCAAAAATCTTTGAAAAGGATGTCATCTCTCTTTGTCAGTGACACTTTCTCTCCCCTCAGAAAAACATGTCACCAACTTGTGAAGTGCATTATCCCTGTAAACTTGCACTAACATCTCTATAATTTTGCTTCCACTCTTGCCAAGTTTAACAAGAAATTTAATGTTCATTCTGACATTCTTGTGACGGCACACCAAAACACACTCAGACAATAATAGACACCACTCAGAAAGAGACTGCTGTAGATCAACAACACATCTGTGAAATGCTGATATGCTGTCATCAAACCATACTGAGGTTTTTGTCAGGACCATTTTCAAAACTAAACATATAGTTTCGAAAATGGTCCTGACATTGAAACAGTTTGCAGTTCATCTGAATTTTCCGGAAATACCCTTAACATATGAGATAATGACACTAATATGAGGTCTGACAATAAAGTTTGCGAACTTGCTACAGTGTGCTTGCCGTGGCAGTAGTGGACAGAAACCTCAGTATGATGACGGCATATCAGTGTTTGACAGCTGTGTCATCGTCGATCTGTGGCAGTCTCTGTGATGTATTGATGAAAACTGGACCAGTTAGAGATGCCCAGCAGATGAAGCAATGTGTGTACAATATTCCATGTGATTGTAGCAGATGTTACATCAGTGAAAAAAGCAGACCTTTATAAGTACTCATGAAGGAGCACAAATATAACCTGACACAGGGTCTGCTTGCAAAATCGAAATTAGCCAAACATGCACATGAAGAAGGCCACAAAATATGTTGGAGTGTTGTGAAGGTCTTGCAGATTGAACGAAACACCACATACATGAAATATGAGGAATCCGTCCACATGTCTCTGATAGACCATCTGATCAGTCAACCCAGCCTGGACATTTCTCCCATCTGGACTCATCATAACAGAATTAAAAAACTAAAACTCCGTCCAATGTTGTCTGAGTGAGAAAATTAATGTTTTTTGAGTTGGTGCCATACAGAGAATTTGTCTCTCCAGTGAAGACTTCCATTCTGATAGTTCTCTGGTGCAAGGCCTCTTATGTATTGAGCTTTTAGTATTTTAATGTTTTGTCTTAGCTCTTGCAGATGGTTTATGCTGTGCTTGGCTTGTATAGCCTGTCTGGTGTTGGTACAGGTGTCCGGAGGTAGAGACTGGGTCCGACTGAGTACATTTTACCTGAAGATGGGGACAGAATCCAGTATCAGATATATTATGGTTTTAAATTAGAACAGGACAGAGTTTTAGATAAAAGTGGGATGACGGATAATGTCCAGAAACATAATATTTATATCAATGTGCCATCGTCACAAACATTTAGATCTTCACTAGTTTCATAATACTTTGAAATTTAAGGTAGAAATTATGTTAGGAGGAGAAGGTGGAAGTGGAGGTGGAACAGTGATCATTTTTCTGATTAAACGCTATGAATAGTTCTTCAGATTTCCTATCCTATAGGTTGTAGGTCTGGCATTTGAAGTTCATAATACAGCTGCAGCTGAAAGGAAGAAGGGACAGGATTGTAATGCAGCTATTGCAGAGCTAGAGACAACAGAAGTTCACCCAAGCTTCCTTGACATTTTTCATTACACATTTTGCTACATTGGAATCATGACAGGTAACTGTGCTGTTTTAATATTGCTTTGAAAACATTAAGTTGAAAGTTACTTTTGTTTGCAAACAATTTAGTTTATGGCAGTGAATTTGTAGGTTATTTAATGATGCTGACAGGAATTCAGACTCTGCTGTCAGATGGTAGGATGAAGATAAATTGTAAGTATATGGAAGGAAGTGGTAGTTTCCTAATCTAGTTATGACAGTGTTTCTCATACCTCTGGCATGTAATTCATAATATTGTATTTTAGCATCCTGTTGCATTGTTGTATTTATTTTACATACATTTATGTCCATCTCAGATGCAACTTATTATCCTGTCCTATTTCTCCACCACTACATGTATCTGCCATCAGGCTCTGTCTGGCTTGTTAAAAGTTTTCTACTTTATGTTAAAGTTATATATTGCATATGAACACAGTGTTGTTGGGTGCACGCGGTAGCGTAGTTGATTGAGGCACTATGCTATGAGCCGGAAGGTTGCGGTTCAAGTTCCGATGAGGTCATTGGATTTTTTCAATTGACCTAATCCTTCCAGCTGTACTATGCCCCTGGAGTCGACTCAGCATCTAACAGAAATGAGTACCAGGAATATTCTTGGAATGTTCTTGGGGGTAAAGGGTGGCCGGCGCATAGGGCTGACAACCTTGCTACCATCTATGAGCCGATTGTCTAGAAAATGTGGGAGCCTCAACATCTCGCAACCGTGTGGATCTCCACGTCCTGTTACAGGGATACCTTTACTTTACTTACTTACACAGTGTTGTTATTAATTAAAATATAATTTTGGTTTAGGATTGGAATTAAAAAATAAAATTAAAACATCTTAATGTATTTCTTCATTGTAATCACCACCTCTTGAATGAAAGATATTTATTTGAGAATATTTTTGTCTTTGTTGGATCATGGTGCACTGCATTACCTTATCACGGCATATAATGTGTAAATTTGAGACAGACGTATGTATGAAACATAAATTATGGAATTCATTAGGTTGTTGGTTTTTGGGCTGTTTAGTGGCACCATCAACTTCAGAGTTACAACACTGAATGGATGTAGGGCAGTATGAAAAACTTCAGAATGTTGGGTGTGCCAGTAGAGATTGAAACCTGATGCAGCAGGTGTATGAGTTGTATGCGTTATGACTGAAGCTATATATATATATATATATATATATATAGATAAAATGTAGGAAAGGAGGCCTATCCAGTCAGAGCCTTAGTGGTTGTGGTAGGTATTTGCTGTTCAAAGTTTTCTTGTTTTCTTTGAAATTAAAAATTTCAAAATGAGAATGGGAAGTTCAAGGTGATAATGATAAGCTTTTAGAGTCCTGCCACATATACAGCAAAGATCTAATTATTGCTGAATTAGGAATTAAATACATGAATGGCCAGAAGGAGAAAGATAAATTTTTATCTGTTAATTCATCAAAGTCTGAACTCAGTTTTGAAGCAGATGAACACTAGAAACATTATTTTAGGAGTTTCTGATAAACCTGCTTTTAATCTTGTTTGCCAGGTCCATACTATACGTATCGAACATACCATGACTGGTTAACCTATCCATTCATGTCATATGCTCCCTGTAAAGATGCAACTATTCAGAAGATGAAATATGTGCCAATGTTTGCAATCTTCTTTCTTATTGCTTCAGCTGTATTTCCACTTCAGGTAAGTTGTTAAGTGACGGTTTGGCCAGGAAGCCATGTCATATATGAAGAAAATCCGAAAGACTTTCCATTTATTATAGCTGCGGTTTAAATTAATGCCAAGTCTACACCAGATATTGATGACCAGTTGCTTTTGATACAGTATGTTTCAAATATAGTTTTAAGGATATATAGATTAAACAGCATATCACATGTCCTTTCCTTGCAACATGCACAGACTTTTTGCTTATTAAATAATTATACCAGATGTTCCAAAAGTGTGGGGCATGCCCCCCTGAGGGGGTGCGATCGGTTTTCTATGGGGTTGCTATGTTGTTTATATGAAAAACTATTTTAAACAAAATGTGGAGAAACATTTAAATCATGTTCTTGGTTGAGGTATTTTCCCAAGAAGGCTACCAGACTTTACGTGTCCACCATGATTATCCATCACTGGGGATGAAATTGGATGATGCACTATTCACCATGTCCAGCAGTTCACTCAATCCGTTGCTTTCAATCTGCTCAATTTAATCCCACTTCTGACACCAACTGTCATGTGATTGAGTGATTACAGATGGGGTTTGGGTTTGGTAATCAGATTTATTGGACTCTTGTAAAGATCAAAACTACAATTAACTATAACAGTTTTACAGATCTACACACTTAACGGATCACTACAGCAGAATCTTTGTCCCTGGTTTTTTGGTAATGTTTCTAGTGGTGTAGCTCCCACAGCTTCCATGTTGCAAGGTTTCACATCCTTGCTCATTGTCTCCTGTCTCATAACTATCTCTGCCGCCTCAAGACCCCTTACTTTTGTTACTACACTTCATGAAGCAGTATGACACAGACTAATGTTACCATTCATGGTCTTCATTGCTCTGCTGGGTAATGCCTTCCAACAGTGGATGTTCCTCTTTTCCTGGGCTCACACCCTCGCAGGCTGGTGGTCAACTCACACCAACCTCCTACTCTTCAAGCTCACATCTAATTAGGCATCGCTATGCAATGACTTACAACAGTGGGAACTCCTACCCCTCCCTCTCTGCCAGGGATGACACACTCATAGCAGCCTCAGACTCATACTGGTCTGTCTGCCCACAGACACTCTCCAGACTCTCGGCTAATTTTTTGACTGACTTGGCTGTTTTCTGACTCGCCAGATGTAGCCTCTGCATGGACCCAACAGAAAACACCATTCTTTTGATGTGGGTGATGTGGTATCGCATGTTTCATTTTAGTGGCACTGTCCACCTGGTGCTGGACTGTGAGAGAACACTACTTCCCACAGCTCTCCTGTTGTTGCATGACATTACTACTCTCATGGAGACTGTGTCTGCCGAGCTGTTGACTTGCAATGGATCTCTCTGTTGATTAAACTATTCCAGCTCTCATTAGACATGTCACACTATTTTCGTGTATATTCATAAACACACATGTTAATAAATACACTTGTTTGCTCTTATTGAATGAAATGATTGTGTGAAGGTCATTTTTGCATATGTGTTCCTTTAAATTTAAAAGTTATTTTGAAAATATTCTCTACTCAGATCTAACTGATTAGAAGCAATAGTTATATGAATGGTTATACAAGGTGGGGAGAATATTTCATGTTATGTGCATTTGTTTTATTTACACTTGTTAATTCGTATATTACAGTATGCTGTATCTGAAGAGTTCTACAGTGAACGCTCATTATTCTACAGGATCTGGTACATCACCCCAACTTTCTTTATTTTCCGCATGCGCTTATATGTTGGGATGGTATTATCAGAATGTGTGTGCACAATGGCAGGACTTGGGGCTTACCCAGAATTCACCGAACCTAGTGCAGGGCATGGACCTACAAAAGAGTTCACCAAGCTGATAGAAATGTGTGTATTAAAAAAATGTGTCTTTAGTAGTATTTAATGTGTAAAGGTGTTTACATTACATTTACCTCTTGATTTGAAATGTTACAGAACACAAGTACTTTGTTAACCTTTTGAAACACAGTGGTAATTATGTGTACTGGTTGATCTTTGTAGTGGAAACAGTACATTTTCTGTGAGATTCAAAGTGAGTGTTTAATATTACTGAGATTAGCTTGAAACCTCAGAGGGTTAATGGTTTGAAGAGTCTTATCTTCTGGGGTACAGTGCCATGTAGTTTTTTTGAAATTGATCTGAAGTTTCGGAGGAGCAAGTTCAGCTTGCTGCCTGCTTCATGCTTGTTTCGTGTTTGGTTTATTCTTCAGTCCTGAAGATGGAGATGATATGTTCCTCTGAAATGTTGTTTGATTTTGAACAGACTACATGGTGTTATATCCCAGAATACAGGACTCTTTATAACCACTGTTGTGAGAACCTCAAATGCTACATGGTTGAAGGTTTGTTCATTTCACCTCAGTGGGCAAAATATTGTCATGTGATAGAGTGATTATACATGGGGTTTAGATTGATAATTGGATTCATT